TGCAAGTTCGCTGAGGACCTGCGCGAGAGTGTCGCCGAGATGGACGAGATGGAGGCCATGCGCATCGAGGGAGAGCTCAACCGTGGCAAGGGACGGCCCAATGCCAACGCCAGGAACGGTTAGTTCAGTTTTTTTTTTAACTTTGCTGAACCCCCAAATATATTTGGGTGGGTCCACGAAAATAGATCATCATCAGCTCACTATTCGTCCCCACTGAGAGACTTGGACCCACCCTAAGTAAAAGGTGGCTAGAGGCTATAGTCACCACGCTTGCCAAATGAGGATTGACTTCACACAATGTTTTCCTTCGCTTTCTCAGTTTGTTATGATAGTGATAGTTAAAAAAATGGAACTTAAATGCAACGCCATCTATTAGTAGAATTTACACTTTGTATGTAAACTTTTGATGCTGAAACCACTGTGTAAAATACTATATATTGCAAACATAATATAGGTATTTGTAAATAATAATGTTTACAATGTATTTCCAGTGATGGAGAATCGTGACAGCGGCGTGGCAGACGTGGAGATCGACCATCAGCAATGTATGGACCACGTGCATGTACACGGGTATGTACGAGACATGTGTATTAACCATACAAAACATTCTTCGGTCTTGTTAATAGAATGAACGAATATCAAGCAAGTGGTATAGTTCGATTCCAATTTTGACTTTTATCCCGCTACAACCACATCAAATTGTGTTCTGCGCTTCGACCACCAATAAGTTAAAAACTGCCAAGATATCGAAAAACATTAATGTAAAATAAATAGTAAATGAATGTATCCTTTGAATAGTATTTGAAGTAGTGTGACAATGTGTTACAGTGTGGTGGTGCCGCCGCCCCCCGCAGGCCCCGCCCCCGCCGCGCCCTCGCGTCTCTCACAGAACCCGCCGCCCACCAACATCATCAAGAGGAACGTGCTCAGCAACTCACTAGTCGATATCAATGATCCAGGTCTGCATTATATTTATTTTATCATTAAATACTACAAACATCTCCGTCCCTCTGCGACATAGCTCTCAAGTAGGCAAAAATGTAGATAAAAGGCAAATTAGCTGAATCTGGATAAGCAAAAGATTCGAATGGACAACAATGTTATTCTCACTATGTTGTTTCCGTGTTATTTGTTAATGTATATTGTTGTACATTCCAGTGGCGCTGGCTGCGGAGCGACTGCAGCGGCGCGGATCAGTGGGCTCACTGGACAGCGGCATGTCTGTCTCATTCCAGCAGGGCAGCCGCACTGCGCTGCACGCCACCTCGCCACGACATCCCAACGAACAGCGCTCGCCAGGTATTACATTGAGACGTACAAAAGTGTGGGGGGCGGGACAACCTATGTTTACACCCATTTTTGTAAGGCAAACGCCCCTAATGGCAACATAAGTGAAAAATTTGTTATGGGTTAAATCTTGCCTTATTTTTTACAAAGCAAGGCGTTTTAAAATATTTATTTTTAACAGTAACACATTTCCGGGATCATAGGTAGCCTATGTGTTCTACATCTATACCAAATTTTATGGCGATCCATACAGCCTTTATGAAGATACCCACTAACAAACGTCTTTCCAAATAATTGCATTTATAATACTATTAAGATTTATTTTTAAATCCAAGATTGTTATTTAATCCAGGTCGTCTCTTCGGCGGTATATTCCCCGGGAGACAACGCAAGCTGAGCGCGAGTGGAGTCCCCGACACCAAGGGACAAGTCGGCAAGAGCACCGAGGTCTAGATCACACGGAATATTCCAGAATCTCCAAGTCGATGTATTCCAGAAAACCGAAATCGGAATATTCTAGAATTAAAAATATTCCGCAAACTACTTTTGATGTCTTCAGCGAGATGCATCGTTTTTTCTTAAGTGCCATCTTTAATAATCCAAGTTTTAAGAGTATTTTGTTGCTGACGCTACTACATGTATATGTTTAAAACATTTTAAACCTTGTTTCCTCGAGATAAGGTACATTTTGTACTAACACGTAACTCCGAAGTGGTAATCACATGTTATTTATAATTGCAAAGTTATTTACAATTAAGAAATAAGCTAATAATTTCTTGAGAATTTTACGAAAAAAATAAGCTTAATTTTATTAAGATATTTATGTGAGGAAACGAAAAAAAAACAATTTTAAGTACATTTGAAATACATTTCAAGTTAATGTCTGTTAAATTTAAACTAAATATGGCAACGATTGCACTATTCCAATTTATTTAGCGTCGATTTCAGATCGAATAATACTCGAGCAATCAGAATGACTTTGTTAATTTAGATGTAGGGTCAGACAGTTAAATTGCAAATGTCACGATTGTTTTTGCGAGTCAAGAAGCACATAAAAATTAACGAATATTTTTGCTAACGCTACATTAATATAATTTGATAAGGCTCTTATCTGATTGCACGCGTATTATAAAAAGATTTAAAAGTATTTGGTAATGATTTAGTGTCAAAAGTTGGATATTTTTGAATTTATCTGTCATTATTGACTAATATAAGAACATCGAAAATGAAGGAGTATTGTGGTATTTTCGGAAACGTTTGGGTCCATGTTTTTGGATAGGCAATTAAGGGTTCAGTAGCGAAACGGATTGTTCATTTTAGTATACGCAGTTTATACATTGGTTACGATTGGATATAAAATGAGTTCCACAAGGATCTTATTGGCTAAGTTTTAAGGGTTACCAGTGGGCGAAAATTTCCCAACTTTTTCCCGAAATCCATTTCGCAACTTATGACTTGAGTTCCTTTTATTGATTCCTTACTATTTAAGTTACATACAAACAAATTAGCAAAGTAACCTACATGTACATTTATTGTGGATATTTTTATGTAATTTTGAAATTAAAAAAATGGCAACATTACATCAGGCAGCTCCCTTATAGGTCAAAATTTGACATTGTCAAGATGACATTGTTAGTCACTTTCCGACTGCCATAAGATCCTTGTTGAACTATACAATAGAATGATTTTTGTGAGATATAAGTTTTCGATGGCATAATAGGCACTTAACATTGTCTTACTAATATTATATGTAATTTCTACGCTAAGTACAGTTTGATGAAAGAAAACTGGTCTTTGGTCATATTTTAAATTACATATTTCTTTACATATAAATTTGAAAATTGTGTCTTTAAAAATGAAATCATACGAAAGATGCACGAAAGAAAAAATACGCAGGATTTTATTGCTTTAACGGTACCTTAATATCAGTATTTGAAAACAGTTGGTGTATTGTGTACCTAACCGTGGGTTTCTGAAACTTCTGACCAAAATCTCCGTTTAAAATATTAGTATCTCTGTTTTTTCAAAGATAATGATAGGGATGACAATATGTTTTATATAGAAATTTTGGTCTCGGAAACCTAACTTAAGTGCCTATTATGTTGACCAGAAATACATGAATGAGTATTAAAATGTATAATGTCCACGCGTGTTTAAAAAGGCAGGAAATATCAACAGTTATGTTCTGATATGCATTTAAAAAGTTTTCATCTTTCTTTAGAATAATTGTACATACGTTCAGACTAGTTAAAGAAATAGACATATAGTAGCATTTCACTGATATTTTTCAAATTCTTTTCAGCACAAAAACATTTAATAGAGAAAAAAAGTTACAACAGTTATATTTATATTGGAAATACGAATTTATTCATATTGTTGAGGAATTTATTAGTGTTGTAGGCGATTTAAAAAAAAAGTTGAAATAGTCTAGTTCGAAATTTAGATGTTTTTTGAATTTTTGTCTTTTAAAATTACAATATTATCGTCTCTTCTCACCATCCTTACCTAACATGGCCTATCTTTTTAAAAACGTAAATCTATATACCATAGATGTAACCATAAAGTTCCATGTCTTCTAACAGCTCTGTGTTATATCAAACGTCACATTTGACATCTGTCATTTAGTAATGTCAAAACTTTTCTATACACTTTCTGTGAGTTTCTACTGCCTAATAACGAATACAAAATCATTTTGTTTCATATGTTTTTTTTAAAGAAATTTTTGATAGTGAAAACTATTATATACTTGTTAACAGGATTCGTATACGTTATTGTATCTTGCCAGTTTTGTATACTTAGCTTTTTTACTTGAAAACTCATTTTCTCATCTTTTTTTTATTTAGTTTAAACCTAAACGTTACCGATTCTTACTGAAACTACCATATTTTATAACTGAATAGATTGTAAGTATTAAAATGGACCGGCTTCTCTCTTATTCAGTGCTTTTTTGGTAAGACGGAAAGAGATTTGCTGGTCGGTGATGAGTTGTTTCTAAGCTCGCGTTTGCATTGCCAAAACATTTACATAGAAACATGTTGTATGGATATTAGAGAAATACATGTTTTTATATTAATGTTTCGTTAATGTAAACTCATTAATTTAGACACTGTTGACTTTGTACCGGTTACGTAGATTTGTTGTTTCTACTATTTGATACGTGGGTAGATAGAAAAAAATTATTGACCTAAATTATATTTGATTTTGATGAGCTTTTTATCTTGTAAACTTCGGTTGATTCATAAAATTAACTAGAGTTCTTTTACCATGCTATATTTCAAGGGCAATCTCTAACCCAATGATACGATCAACGTAAATTGATCCTTATTGTAAAGTGATTGAGGCTTATTTTAGCTTAACTGGTCCTTAAACCTTGTTCTAAGGAACTAAATTATCGTCTAAACATTCTGTCCAATAAATTTTTATTATATCCATTGAATCTCTATATAAAATGTATGTTTGTAGGAATGACCTGTATCGGCTGATTGTGTTGTGCAATGAGTTTCCATCTGTCACAGTTTGATTATTTTTTTAGTTAAATTACTTTATTTTGTGTTTTTATTAATTCCATTTACAAATAATTATCCCCTAATGCTCTTTAATTTGAAAAAAAAAATTTTTTTTTGGACCGTTAAAAAATTTCGTTTTTTTTTAAAGTAACTGTGGCCGATAGAAATATTCTCGTTTCTCAAAAGTCTAATATAATTATAGAAATCTAAACGAAAGGAATTGATTAAAGGTTTCGTAATTTATTATATTTAAATGTGTGGATGAAAAATCTGCATTAATTAAACTAATATTATAATTAATGGGGATAATACAAATGGGCTGATTTTTTTTTCAAGCGTATTCATAACTTATGTCTTTGCAGTAACATTTGAGCAGACCTTAATGCAAGTTACATAAGTCTTAAAATGGTTTGATCGAAATAGACTTTGTTAACAGCTTTCAAAAGATGTGTTATACTGCAGGGCATTAAAGTAGGCTTTCACTGTATTCATACAAAAAGACATTGTTTTTTCAGAGTAAATTAAAAGAGATGGCTTTATTTTTTTTATATAATTTTGGCAGTTATCCAACGGTTTATTTGGTTTGTGTTGTAAGAAATTTGGTATAAAAATAACTTTGTGGGGCTGTGAGGAATGTGGTGTTTATAAAATGTGCAATCTTCCTTTCCAGTTTCTTAAATCTATTGCCGTTTTATTTACATCGCAAAGCTTGAAGAGTTTTGAAGGACTTTTGCTTTTGTAAATTTCGCTTGAAGCCAAAGATGTAATTTCTCTGTGTTCACGTGTTGTCTATTCTAAAGATAATTTAAAAATAAACCTATTCCTAATGTAAATGACGTAAATTACATTTATAGTACGAACAATTTATCTGGCCCGGTGATAGGTTAGTTGTCACAAAATTTGTTAAACTTACTATGGCATAGAAAATGACAAAATAGATTAAAATGACAGCTCATATTACGAGTCACCTTGTGACACTTTTGACATAGTGGGGCTAGTGAATTACCATAATTTAGTGTAAATTATACCCACCGGGTCTAATAAATATGTTGGTCTATATGTTAATTGTGTCAAAACTTACCATAAAAAAGAATTATGTTATGTCAAACATTACCATATTTCGAGACATTTTGGTTAACTTTAGTTAAATATTTTAGTGATAGTTAGAGTGGGCAGGTGTTTTTTTTCTGTAACATAAACAAAACTTACTAACTTATTGTAATTCTTACCATTTATGTATATTGAAGAGTTCACATTAATATATATCTCTTAGTTATTAATTGTTGTGTAAATTTAGAACTAAGCAATAAGCGCGTCTCGCGTCACATTATATGTTGTATTATACTAAAGTTGTTGAGAATTGCTACAACATAGTCACAATAGTTTTATTTAAAAAAAATACAATAAAATGTATTTATTTATTTAATATGAATTAACATTCATATGGACTTTGATGTTTTATTTTAACCCTATATACCCCTTTTTTAACTCCAAGAATGGTAGTTTTTTAAACCTATATACTGACATATAACATTTACATGAAAACATAATTTGCTACTTGGAATATTAAGATCACAACTTTTTTATGTTAATGTTTGTGCAGTGGGAACTAATGACGGCGATAGAGGTTAACGTTATTTGAAAACATGGTGTTAAGAGTCACTGTCCAAAATATAGAAGCCTGTTAGGACAACCCACATTGCAGCAGAGTAGTATGCAGACCGGTGTCAGTCATATGTCCTTTTTTCTCGATCATGGCATGTTTAGTTTAATTCTTATGGTCCTTCGAGCCGGAATATAATAGCTGGCTTTCTATAACGTATGTTGTGCCGCTATGTTGCGAATTAACAATAATAAGAACATAAGTCAACTTGGCAACGATGCTTTAAACACATACAAACAAAAAGTATGGAGGAACAATCAGAAATACAAATTAAATAGTAATGCAATTGAAATAATTTACAACGTTTAACTAACTATTTCTCAGTATGAAAACGTTCTGAGTTTTGTTAAGAGAACTGCACAGAATACCCTTTGCTCAAAAATTTCGGAAATAAGTAAGGAGTTATAGATTTAACCGTGGGCTCCTGAGACTATATCCCCGTTTAAAACATCGTCATTTCCGGATTTGTCAAAGATAACGACAGGGGTGACGATATGTTTTATACAGAGATTTTGTACCAACTATTGATTTTTGATACTAAGTATGAAAAACATGCATTAAAATATATATTTATACCATACACAAATAAAACGCTTTTTGTCATAACATTTTCTGTAACTCGAACCATTTAATTCATTGATTCTTTAAAAACTATCAAAACAAAATCACATCAAAACACACGTTACATTTAATCAATCAAAATTAAACTCTATTGTTTTAAAAATAACTTACTTATTACCTAATCATTGTTACAGGGGTGACAAACTGCGGGGTCGTTGGTTCAAACAAGGCAGTAGCACGTAAAGCCGCAGCATGACAGCGATACATCGCCACTTGTAGGGCCTCTGCTCCCCCCGCTACCCGCCCCCTGCCAGCTGAGCTTGGCTTAGCACCGAATAGCGCACACACCGCGCCCGGGCACATGCCTCCTGTCCATGTGTGACACAATGTCGTAATAAACGTCATGCTTTTCTATTCGAGATACTTGGAAAAGATATGGAGTCGTTATTCGTTTTAAATTATTGAAGAAAATTATATTAAAAAAAGGGTCTTCACAGCCAGACGGGACGGACAACAAAGTGATTCTATAAGAGTTCCGTATTTTCTCTTTCCAGGTCGGGAACCCTAAAAAGACTGTCTATATCTGAGGAAGAGTAACATTTAAATAGAACCTCAAAATCGGTAAATCATCTGTATAGACAATATAAATAAATAAAATGTTTAAAGATATTAGATAGGATATCCTAAAGATATCTCCCATATATAAAGATAAAGGTAAATAAAAATATTTAAAGCTGGGTACTGACCGACGTCAAAAGATGTAATAGTGTTATGAGGAAACAAGCAAGCAACGAGTTACTCGATGCGACTGTTACACACCTTGAACGCTGGTCAGTAACCATAGAATGTTCGCCAAAAATCGATAAATATTAATTTCGATCAAAAACCTGAAAAACATAAATAACAGAATAAAGAAATAATATGGACACAAACAGCTTGATCCTAGTTACTGAAAGTAACGCGACTCCATTCGTTCGCTGTTCGAATAGCGACAGTGGATGCGCGGGTGTTCACTTCAGTAGCAGTGACCACGTGACAATAGCTACAGCCTTCAGCAATACAACTAAATTCCTGCTTAATTCGAATACCATTATTACAGAACGCATATTTGCCGACAATTTTCTATAAGGTAAGATTTAAAAATATTTTATTTTATTAATTTAATTATCTAATATGCAAGTTTAAATTTAATTATAACTTAATTAAATTAACACTACTAAAGTATTACATGAAGAATGTTTTATAAGTTAATACAGTTCAATTTTAAATTAAAAAGTTGCATGCAAATTATTTATTTTAATTTTACTTCGATAAAACAATGTTTTTTTTGCATTTTTCTTGTTCTTTATATATTTTTTTTCCCATTTTATTAAAAGCAAGTCAAAAAAAATTTAACGGATTGAATTTAAAACAATAATAATAATTTATGAATTTTTTTTTTTTCAAATGAAGGTTTCTTGTTTAATAGCTTTATTAGGAAAATATCAAATTACTAATTGAAGTTAATGCGATAACAGATTTTTAATTTAAATGAATTCTAATAATAACATAAATTACAAAATCATTGTTGTAAAAACACTTAAATAATGTACACGAGCTAAAAAAAATCTCTACATGTACATACACAAACATACTAATTAATATAATACACTTCTTTAAAAAACTTTTTAATTTGGTATTTTTCTTATCAGTCACTTAACATCATAAAAAAAACTGTTATAAGAAAAGTCACAAAAACAGTATCCAAATTTGCAATCCACGGCATAATATTTGCGAACGTTTTTGGCGCGAACAGTGACGTAACGATGACGCGTGTCAAACTTTTGGCGCGAAAACACCACACTTTTCCACAAGCATCAACCAAACTGTCAGTGCAAACTGGGAAACGCCACAAATTATACTCATTTACTAGTAATTTAATAAACTTAACTAAATTATAGACATTTAATTCAATTTAAGTGCTGTCGGCGAAGCTTGTTACTTGTACAAGTCTAAGTACCTTTTTACACTCACATTACATCTACGTTTTAAACTTTCAAAATAAAATAGATTAAAAAAAATAGCAATTATGACAAACCTGGATATGCGATTAAAATTCAACAAAACAAAAAATCAGAAATCATAAATAAATTGTAATATTATTTTCTATAAGAATAGATTAGCCATTCAATCTCTTCTATCGTTGTTAAATTATTAACAAATAAATATGTGGTTACCAAAAATAAATAACATATATGTAGTTATTGTTAATACAGATGGAAGAATCTCTAGACGAGCGCGAGGCGAGCACCAGCGCTGGGTTTGATTCCGCGGCCATTTTGAATGACGATGTGTCACCGACCACAAGTTTCTGTTACAACATACCTAATCTTTTTAATGGGTAAATTCATCTCCTATTTTACACTTAAGTATCTTTAATCAGCTTTAACTTGAATCTTAGGTTACATTAGCATTGCCAAATCATTGTCTGAATCAAACGTGGTAAGAACCAAAGGTTATAAGTAAAGTATCGAAAATATTGGCAGTATAATACTCACATATATTCAACTGTTCTTAGTGTGTCTTCTAAAGTGTGTAACTTCCTCTTAATACGTCTTCGGGCCTTTATGCTGTTTATGCGATTCTTCATGTTTTTGATGCGTTGTAGATGTTCATGGCTGTCGGAGATTACGACGACACTGGAATAAATACATGACTGACTTCAATTGTGTTCGATTGTGTGGTTTGTTAGTAAAAGTCCTGTTCAACGTGCATTATTTTCTTTAGTCTAGGTCCTGGTTCTGTACTATGTGACCGGCCAGAGACAGAGAGTAGCGAGTACACAGCCGCCGAGCACACGGAGGATGCTGTAGAGACACAACAATATGAAGATGACGAGGAATATTCACCGAGCTCCAGTAAGTAATAACGACAAATAGCAGGTAGTCAAAAATAGTGCAGTATTAACTTGTATAATGTATATAAATCAAATACAGATTCATGTAAAATTACCTCGCAAATTTGCAGTCCAAGTCCTAGTAGAGGCTGTAGTTTCTTTGTCGAATATTTCATTGCCTTGTCAAAAATACCCACAGCCAAATAATGTTCCAATTCAGATAAGAACGGTGATAATTTCATAAGTATCAGATCTATTTACTACCTTAGAAATAGTAAATAAATAACAAATTCTAACCATTTCTTTCCTTTTTTTAGATTCCAAGAGCGATGTTCCTAAACGTAAACAAAGAAGATACAGGTAATTGTTTTTTCTTTCAACAAATATAGAATAATCTTATATATAAAATTCTCGTGTCACAATTTTCGTTCCCATACTCCTCCGAAACGGTTTGACCGATTCTCATGAAATTTTGTGAGCATATTGAGTAGGTCTGATAATCGACCAACATCTATTTTTAATCCCGCGCGGACGGAGTCACGGGCGACAGCTAGTATACATATATATTCATTATAAATTATTTCCAGAACAACGTTTTCTAATATACAACTAGAGCAGTTGGAGGCGGCATTTCATAAAACACATTACCCTGATGTGTTCTTCAGAGAAGAGCTCGCAATGCGGATAGATCTGACTGAAGCAAGAGTACAGGTAATGTTAAGTGAGGGCGCCACTGTCGCATATCTCGCACAATTTACCGCCAGTTGTTACAAGGAAGGAAACTTAGAACTAGCGTAGTATTTAATGGGAAGTATACAAGGTAACCTGAGATAAAGAATGAGGATATAAATTCAATTAAAATATTACTTAAACGAGTTGTTTTTGGTGTGGTTATATGAAAAGTTGCTTACCAATACAGGTGTGGTTTCAAAACCGTCGCGCGAAGTGGCGTAAGCAGCAGAAGGCGGGCTGTGAGAGCTACCCTGGACGCGGCGGACGCTCGCCTGATCCTCGCTCGCCCTCCACCCTGGCGATGGAAATGAGGGACTTTATTACAATACCTGGTTAGTAAAAAAAGATCTGATTAAAATTGTCAAGTCATTTAGAATATATAGGGTGTCCCAAAAGGTTACGTACATAGGAAGGGGGATGATAGGGGTGGTCACAAGGGTCACCAGAAAAATAAAATAAAATTTCCCCTCTGGGTATTAAAAAAAATAAGTGGCATTTTTTAAAAACTTAAAAATTTTACACCTTCTGGGGCAATTTTAATTTTCTTTAAAATCTTTGTTAGTTATATTGTTTTTTTTATTTCATATTGATAAAGGGTTATTGACGATAACATAATAGCTTTTTTTAAATATAGCAATATTTGTAGGTCATCGGTTACAAAATTGGTTACTACTACTAGCGCCAACTGTATTCTAATCAGTTCATGTGCCTTATATATTTGTTCAAAACGTTTATTATTATATTAAATATTATTAATCGCCAATAGCCTAATGGTTAAAGGTACAGACTTCTGATCACTTGGTCGCGAGTTCGAATCCCGCCATTCGACTATTGTCGTAAACCATATCCTAGCGCAAGCCTAGAGTTTAGTTGGAATGGTATAAAGAAATATTAGTAAATTTACAAAAATCTACTAATAATTTTCATAATAAATTATTTCTTTACAGTATCATCACCACAAGTTATCAATTTAGCTGAATCTTCAAATATAAGTAACTACGGATCTAAAAGTAAGCAGCCAGCTCCAGCTATCCATATATCCGCTCTACCTACAAGACAAAACTCTCAAATGGATCTTCCCACATTCTCTATACCGCTTCAATATAATTTGGGTAGCTTTAAAAAGATCGGTGAAGACGTTGATTTAGAAGCTTCGACATCAGATAATGTACAAGTATCAAATCATTGGGACTCTAGAATGATATCGAATTATAATTTGATGAATATAAAACCTTTACTGGACAACCGTGAAGGTATTGACATGTCAGAATTAAAATACGAAGTTAAAAACGAGTCTGTAAATAGAATTAATTTTAATGAAATACCAGACACCATAGCGAGTACAAATATTGAAGCTGAAGATATACTTGGAAAGGAATCTGTTAATGAAGGGCAAACTATATCACCTGATTTTGAAATTGAAAGATATCAGAATTATAGCAATGAAAGTGAGAAAAGGTTTAGGGAATCTACATTTGATGAAAATATTATGGAAGATGGAAGAAATGATTTTGTGTGCGACAGTGATTTTTTGTGTAAGAATAATTTCGAGAAAGTCGATGAGAAAAGGAATGAATACGAGGAATGTCATCTTTTAGATGCAGATAATAATGTTAGTATGAGTAATTTTGAAACTAATCTATAATTTAGTTTGTTTAATAATTTCAATATGTGTGATTTTTTAAATACAGCAATAAATAATTCTAGTCAAATTGTTATTTGCCTATTTTGTTATGACTATCTATCTTCCTACTAATATTATAAATGCGTATGTTTAGATGGATGTATAGTAGAAGGTATCTTCAGAGCCGCATGGATCTCCATCAGATGCGGCAAAGATGTAGTCTGGAACACACAGGCTATTAATTAAGATTTTTTTAAATCCCGGACGGAGACGCAGGCGACAGCTAGTAAGGAGTATTAGTTTCTGAAGAAAGACAGTTTGAAATTGTATTATATTTAATACTAATTAGTACACAATATCTGAATTTAAATTTAATTTTAACAATTTCTAGCGTTTGTATGCCCAATCCGCCATTACCCTGAAATCCTCTTTAGCGAATTGAAAACGATTATCGTAAATGTTCAATTAATGCGGTCACATGTGCCATTGTTAGATAATGTTCCTATTTCTAAATTAAATAAACGGCCAATGAAGAAATTTAATCTATGTTTAATTTTGCAAAGGGAAAAGTTGATATACATGCAAAATACAAATAAAAATAAATTGATTTAAAAAAGTCTTTCTCGTTTATTATTTATGACAATTAATTTTATATTGGATACTTAAATATTATAAAATGTACACTAAGGGCATTATAAGTGACCATTTAGCGACTTATACTAGTATAATGCTAGGAAAAATAAAAAACTAGTATTATGTGTCGAATGTGTTAACATATAACATTTTATGCATTGAATTAATTAATTTCCAAACATCTGTTTAATAAAGCACAATCTTAGTCTACAATCAGAATATAAGTCATAGAACAATTTACTTATATTTTAGATGTTATCGCGTCGCAATATTATACATAAGGCAAAGATATTAACATAATATATCAATAGACGGGACATTAAGAAAAAACCGTATGCACAAAAAGTATCTTTAAGTCATTTTGGATTGTCTATTTTGACACTTTTCATACAGTGACTACTACTAACATACTTATTTTTAATCAGTTATACTTAAAATATTACTAATAAGTATATTAGTATTATTAATTACTATATTAGTATATGTAATTTTAGACATTTATTAATCAAAATCCTCTGGCGCGATTGGCGCGTTTACATAGCAAAGTCAAGTGTCAGAATGATTAGTGAGGGGACATAGATGTCGACATTTTAGTAAGGCAAGTGTTGTGCCCGTATTTTCTTCCTAACAGTTATATTACTAATGACTAATTTTAAATACTAATATACTAATTACTTATTAGTAATACTAATTTACTAATTAATTTAAGTTGTTATAGACTCGAGTATCAGAATTTCAATTTAATGCCTGTAGGCCTTCATGTGAAAAGGAGTAATAAACCCTGAAACAATATCTTAATAAAGTACAAAATTATTTAAAAAATTGTTTATTTGTGCTATACGACGTAGCTTCGTACCAAATATCATAATTCTAAGTTCACGGAAAGTACCGTTAAGTTTTGATTCCCTTGCCAATGTAGTAAATTTGCGGAAATTTGCTACAAAAACGTCTGTATCTTTAAATACGTGTAGACCTGATTATTTGATATAAATTCCAACTTGATACCTTCACTGGATCCAAAGAAAAAGGGTCTTGACAAACAGACAGGCAGACGGACGGACAACAAAGTAGCACAATAAGGGTTACGTTTTTTCTTTTCGAGGTACGGAACTCTAGAAAGGATAGCTCGTTATGTCCGCTCTATAACTAATAACATATTTTAATATCTTTGGTATGAGGTCTTTAATAGTGCGCCGAAGAGTCGATCGAAGTGTGGCGCCGCGGGGTCAGCCGTCTGGGTCACGTCACGTGGAAATAAATACAACGCACGCCAACTTTATATGTCAATGATTTCTGTCGCTGAATAATAACTGTATGACCTTATTAATTATATTAAACAATCTTGTATATAAAATTCTCGTGTCACAATTTTCGTTCCCGTACTCCTCCGAAACGGCTTGACCGATTCTCATGAAATTTTGTGAGCATATTGAGTAGGTCTGAGAATCGGCCAACTTCTATTTTAATCCCGCGCGGACGGAGTCGTGGGCGACAGCTAGTTATTTATAATATTAGTTAAGTAACAGCTTTTAACCAATAGTATAGATGAGTAAACGATTATTTTTTTGGCAAGTAATCGTTATAATATGACGATATATTTCCTCTTATTTAACTTTAAAAATCTACATCTATTAGTAGACTTAGGTATTAGGTACTCTGTTAAATATAAATCTATGAAGCTTATGAATTAAGTTTTAAATTAGAAAATTAAACTAATTAGGACCATGATAACCCTGATAAATACGCAAGTGAAAAATTTGTATACAAAAACTACGTATTACGTACAAAAGTTCGTTTCAAGGAGTGTTTATGACTTGAAATAATAGTGTTTTTTTTAATTAATAACCTATGCAAACTATAGTGGTCAGTATAACCTCGAAGTAAAAATATCCAGTGTATCCGCTGAGTATGAAGGTGAGAAAAAACTAGATATAGCGTCGGACGCTACAATCTGTAACCTTTTTTATCTATGACGTTAACACTTACGTATTTTTTTAACGTATACGTTTAAAATAACCTGTGACATTCTCGTCTTTTTATCCTTAAGTGAGTTTAAAAAGTAAAGGATCTAAAAATACGTATTTTTCACAACTTGGCGCTTTGATGCAATTAGCCAGTGCACTAACTTTTATCAGATCATTACTTCATCTTATTAGAGTCATACACATGAGGGTTTATCGTTAACAGAGTCTATCACGAATATTTATAATGTGTTCGTAACGTTACTGACAAAATATATCACTTGTATGAGATTTGTGGTTGCACTTTGCGTTCAATATGCGCTTTACAAATCTTATAAAATTTTTGTCGATGCGTTACGAATACTTTCTTGCAAATTTTCATGCTAGGCCCTGAGAAGTATGATGATAAAACTTTAGTTTCCAACCCTGAAAAAATAGTACGATGGTATCGAAGTTTTTTTCAAGAAGAAGGAAAGTAATAATATCTTTCTATCATAGAGTTTTATGTATCTAATAGCATTTTGGTGACATTTTTATTAAAAATTTGATATTGGTCGTTTGCGTTTATTATTTCGTTTTTTAATTAAAAGAAGAATCGTTATGAAATAAGCCGCCGTTCGCCATCGAGCCTAACTTAATAGAAGGCTTAATTGCGGACACGCCGGCCATCGCTATTTATTTAACAAGATTTAATTGGGAAAATTTAGCTTCGTCACAAGTTTCTAACAAAAATATACAGCGTGTCCTAAAATTCAACGATAAAACTGTAATGGTGTATAGCCAGATCGATAACTACAAGGGGAAAAATACAAAAAAAATCCAACTCTCTTTTTGTTTAAAAGTTATATTAATAACTTTTGTAACTTTTCTTATAATTTGATACGCTCCACCATATGGACTGTGGCTATAAATATGAAGATATTCGTAAAAACAGCGTAAAACATTATTATCATCTTTTTTTATATAAAAAGGTGGCAAACGAGCGAGCGGCCACCTGAAATCACTGAAATAGCGAAGTGACCGTTACCCATAGACATACGCAACTGCATATGCGTTGCCTACCTTTAATCGACGGAGGAGAGGATGCACATAAAGAAAATATCTTCCCTTTCTATGCATCCTCTCATCCGGAAAGTCCACTTCCACTTCCCAGCCTTTCCTTATAAGAAAACGGGTGGGAAGGGAAAGAGGACTAAATTAGGCCTCCGGGACGCACACTAATCACACTCATCAGACGAAACGCGGAATTGCTTCCACTTCACGCCTGTCTTCTGTATGGTCGTGGTATTTCATCGGGCGAGCCGGGCCGATTCGTGCGAAGATGTTAAAGCGGGCTCTACCACTGTTAAAAATCTCGTTCGTATCAAAGAAGAAGAAGAAGAACAAGATGTGATGATGATGTTTAATGCTGTTTTTACAAATATCTTCATATTTGTAGCCACAGTGTCAAAAGAGAGTTGGATATTTGTTATCGATCTGGCTATACACCATTACAGTTTTACCGTTGAATTTTGGGACATACTGTATATCAAAATTTGAAATTTACTTATACTTTTAAAAGGTAAAAGAATTATTAGGAAGCGGATTTACGTATAATAAAAACCACAATACTTTTAAATATGGATTGTGAAGACAATTTGATTACATATTATTTTCCGTCAGTTTATAATATATCTAGTCGGATTATATGACCTGAATGATATACAAAATATTCATTTTCTATTTTTGTTAATATTAAAGACAAAATTAATTTTATCTTAGTTGAAAATTAAACTGAGAAGCAGCAACGAAATTAACTAATATTAAAATATAAAAGATTTGATAGAATAGACTTTAACTTTGTCACTTTGTAGAAGACTGTCTTTTGAGAGGAGAAAATGCATTCATTTTGTCAAACAAAATGCAATTCTTATGATACTCATTTGACAAAATCTACGGACACATTTATAACAGTCCTCCGGTGTTAAATTTCGATTTTTCTTATTACGACGTCTTATGTGAAAACGACACCTAAATGTAAAGTGACAAAGCATAAATTTGCATAACGTGAATAATAAGCTTTGTACCAGCTAATATGGACCGTGGAAAGCAGTGTATTCAGAAAACTGAATGAATGACATACGAATTTGTTCCTTACAATTAAGGCTATAAGATTCACTATAACAGTACTCAGCATAACAATTATAACGTAATCGAATTTGGACATTTGTGTTCGATGCACACACCTGCAATTTGTTTTACTCACCTATGTATAAAGTCAATTTAAAATGGAGACTTACTACTATTATTTTAAGGCATAAAATTGCTTCAATATTTTGGATACGAGAACACATACCGACTTGTCAGCTTGTGTTGTGCATTCGCTTTTCCGGTCCACAATTTAGCTGTGTGAAAATTCTAAAATTGTTCACACAATAATAAACTTAACTGCCAAGTAAATTAAGCTCATATTACATGGACTAGTGTT